AGAGGGATGAGATGCAGGGGGTGGAGGGCAACTAGAACTGGTGAGGCTCACAGGCTGGTGCAGGCAGGATGGGGTTGGGGCTTCTGGTGGGGCCTCTGGGTGCATGGACTCTGAACCCTGCAGGGACTAGGGGAAGTGGTAGGCACTTTGACTGAATTAGCAGAGCTGGGAAGACATCTGTAGGTGAGCTGGCAGCGAGGGTGGTGGGAGATGCCATTCCGGGTGCTCTTGGTGGGCTTGGCCACTGGGCTCCACCTGCCTGATGCCAGCAGCCTACAGCCTCACTCCTTTGTTTCTTGCTCTGTCTGAGTACTGCCCAACAAAGCAGCCTTCTCTGCACCACCTTACATGCTAGTACAAGAGAGAACCCCTCCAGGGTCTGTGTGCCTGTCCGGTCTTGGTGGCCATTTAAAAAAAGGTGACTCACCCCCCTGCCCCCTAAGAGAAGAAAAGCTATAGGCCTATCACCTGAGCTGTGCACTGTTGGCATCACAGTTCTGACAGTGGCCACTGTGTGTCACTCTGGGCACTGCAGAACTCATTTCCCCTGCCACTTAATCCTCATCTTTGGGCACAGGACACCTGTCATTGCTGCAAAGGCTGAGCTGGAATTTGAACTCAGGTCCTTCTGGTTGAAAATCCCCTCCTTTGAACCACAGCCTTCACTATCCTTGTCACTGCCTCACTCTGTGCCACACGCTGCGGCAAGCCCTTCCCCTCTGCCAGACTTGGTTTCCACAGCCATAGAGAGCAACACTGTCACCTTGGAGCCACTTTCTGGCTCCCATCTGCTGCCTCAAGACTTTGGTACCAGTTCTGTCTTTAAAAATGCATGTGGCAGGGCTGGGGGTGCAGCTCAGTAGAGCATTTGCTTGGCATGGTGAGGCCTTGGGGTCCATCCCCAGTGTTGGAAATAAATAGAGAACAAGTGTTTTTTTTTTTTCCTGTTCTTGCCATGCTGGGCAAACACTGTACCATGGAGCTACCCTCCCAGCTCTGGTGGCTATTTTCATTTTCCCTCTTCACAATGCTCACTGTAGAGGACTGGGAAATTCAGGAAGGGAAGGTGAGGAAAACCTTTTGCATCCTGTGGCCTCTGAGGTGGGGGACCCTGGGCAGCCATTACTACATGAGTACACCCCCTTTCCCCTGCATCTCTCATGGCCAGGATCCCAGTGCAGCTGGACCTCCGAGCCCTGTGGGCTGCTTTCGCCAGCCACTCAGTCTTGGTGGACCCTTCTTCACCAGCCCACTTGGGTCTCTTGCTGGAGACTGTGGTGGAGAAGGTCTGAGTGGCTCTCAGAGAGGCTCTGTTCCACCCCACAGTTCCTTGGGCTCACACACCTGCCATGAACTCTGCCAGACCGTGCATAGTTCAAAGAGGACTTGAACTATGAGGGCATGGTTGAGCGCCTCTCCTCCTCCTCCTGCATAGTGTCCTCACACCCACCACCTGGTTCACCTTTGTGTGGCAGCCTGTGGGGCGGCTGGGCGGGTGCAGGCATGCCCACCTTCCAGAGGTGAAGCTTGAGGCTTTGGGAGGCCCCAAGGTCATCCAGAGGGGGCTGGTACAGCCCAGCTTGCAAATGGGTCCTGTCACCCTAGATCCTCACAGTGTCAAGTCCCAGGCTCCTGGGGCCCCTAAACTCCTGCGGGATGGAACTCTGATACAGGGTGCCATTTGCTGTTCCTTATTTTTGGTGACCATGTGAGGATGGGATTTTGGCACTGACCCAGCCCTCCTGGAGCCTTGTGACTGACCCCCGGTGTCCTGCAGGGTACTGTGGGGCCCTGTTTTACAGATGGGGTCACTGAAGTTCATCTCAGCTACCTGGCGAGGTGGGGCTTCCAACGTGGTTGTCACAGCCTGTGTCCTATGTGTCTTGTACAATGAGGAATGTCAATGACATTCAAAGGCCATTGTGTCCTAGGGACTCTTTCACGAGTTTTATGTGTGTTTTACTGTGCCCATGAGGGTCTGCGAAGGTGACCATGGCCACTCTGAGCCAGCCCTATTTTCTTGTGACATCCTCTGAGACTAGTGGCATATGTACAAAATGGTAGCTACAGGTCTCTGTGTGGTGGGACATGCTGGCCTGTGTCCTTGCTCTGGGGACTTCAGGGCCCCAGTTTAGCCTATAGCAGGTGCCTTTCAGAGTCCAGCCCCCAAGTCCAGGGAGGAAGGTGGTCAGAGGGTTGAGCTTAGGCACTGTCTGCATCCCTGGGGTTCATCCTTGTCGCCCCACCTCTCCCCATCCCTCTATGACCTGGGAAAATCCTTACCTCTGTGGCCTCTGTTTCCTCATCTGTAAAATGGGAAGGCCTGAGAATTTGACAGAAGAATGCAAATAAACCTTTAGGCTCCATAAATATCGGTGTCACTCTTCATCTCCAGGGAAAGCCTTAGGCTTGAAGCTGAAAGTGGGAGTCAGCCTTGAAGGTTGATGGGTGGACTTAGGACTTGGGGTCTGGGAGGAAAGGGTCATGGATTTGGGCCCAGGCTGGAGAAGAGGCCCCGTCACATCACTGTTGAATTATGTATAAGGAACAGTTTGCCCACAAGGCCGGGCAGTGGGCCTTCTGTAAAACGAGTGTATGTCTCTCTGCTCCTTCCCTCTCAGACCCTTTGGGGTCCCAGTGCCCTCAGAGGAAGGCTGAGCACCCATGGGGGTTGTACTCAAGCCCACAGGGAAGAGGCCCTGCAGGGACTGCTGTATGGCCACAGTTGGACCGTCCAGCTTGCAGAGGGGTTTGCAGGCACTTTTGCCTTCTCTGCTTTGGTTCTTTTTGAGACAGGATCTCGTATTGCTGACCTAGACATGATCCCCCTGCTTATGCTTCCTAACTAGCTGGATGACAGGGGCATGCACCGTGACTAGGCCTTTTATTGATTGACATGGGATCTCAAGAACTGTTTGCCCAGGCTGGCCTTGTACCATGATCTTCCTGATCTCTGCCTCCCAAGTAGCTAGAATTACAGGTATGAGCCACTGTGCCTGGACTTGAAGACACCATTTTTGTCCCAAGAGTTCTCATTGTGGCTCTAAAAGGCACAGCCACACCTGGTGGGGAGCAACCTGCAGCATCGATCCAAAGAAAAAGACATTTCTCTTGTGGACCTCTGTTTCTGGGACTGTGCCCTGCAGGGTGGCTGCCACCTGCTGGAGGCCCTGGGTGTGGCCAGTGCCCATTATGCCTTGTTTATGACACCAAAATACCAACACCCTCCTCTGTGTGTGTGGGTAGAGGTGACATACATTATAGTATATCCCCCCAAACAAACAGCACCGCTGTTCAGAAAGCAAGGAGGATCTCTACACTGTTCTAAATCACCACTGAGTCAGTTACTGATAGCAGGGGCTGTGTGTGCCTCCTTCTGTGTACATAGTGGTCCCCTTCATCCACACAGGGTATGTCCCAAGACCTCCAAGTGATGTCTGAGACCAGGGACAGTATGGAGCCCTAGGATTAAATTCATAAAGCAGGTACAGGAAAAGATTGACAATAACAAACCATAATAAAATAGAGCAGTTATAACGACATGCTATAATCAAATTCACACGAATGCCGCCTTTCCCCCCCTCTCAAAATACCTTACTGTTCTGCGCTCCCCCTTCTCATGGTGTGTGAGACAAATGGTACCTCCATGGCGTGAAGTGCGCTGGATGGCGCAGGTGCTGTGAGTTAGTTCAGCTACAATAGGGGGGTGACGGCAGTTGGCTGGGGGCAACTGATACATGATGACTGAGGGGGGAGGGGACAACTGTATGCAGATATGTGAGATGGTAAATGCATGGGATAGTTCTGGAAGATTCTTAAGAAACCAGCAGCAGTAGTCACTGGTGGGGTGGAAGGGAGACTTTTGTGGTCATTCTTTGTATTGTTCGAATTTTGAGGGGCCTCAGAGCATAGTGACACCTTAATGAACACAGACTCTGGCCCATGACCGGGGCGCCCATCATGCCTCTTCCTAGCTGTGTGATCTAGGACAAGTCAGTTGCCCACTCTGGGCCTCATTTTTCTCACTGGGCATTTGGATTCATAGATATTAGTATTTGAGGCGCTGTAGGTGCTGTGTGAGTGTCTGGTGTTAACATTGCCCCTTGCATGCACTTGTAAGCCAGTTAAGAAAAATAAAGGCTTTAGGAATGAAAGGAAAACAGGCACACGGAAGCTGGTGGCAGGGACAGGTTGGACAGAGGGCGTGGAGGACCAGCTTCTCCCCCCAGGATGGATTCCCTCCCCAAGGGAGGTCTAGAAGGGCAGCCCCCAGCTCAGCCAGCAGGTGAGGTGGCAGGAGGGTGGAGAGGATGCTCCCCCTCCAGAGGTTTGGCAAGGTTGATCCATGGCCTGGGAAGCCACCGAGGCTGGGGTCTGCTGGGTGTATGAGCCCCACGGGAGGCCGGAGGCGCTTGGGGCATGGGAAGCTGCTCCGGCTCCGAGCATTTTGGATTCTGACCCTGTCCCGTGCCATTCACCTCTGGCCCTTTCTTTTCTACACCCATGTGCCAAGGCTAGTGGCCCTTTGCCAGCTGGCTAGCCCCATGGGGTAGGACAAGAGACAAAAACATGGTGGCCTTCCAGCTGTTCTGGTAGAAGCCAGAACTGTGGGACCGGGAGGAGGAAGTGTCCAGCCATGGAACACAGGGACCCAGGGACCCAGGTGTCATCTCCTGTCCTGGGGCCAGAGCTTCCCATAAGCCAGAGGGGATAAGGAGGGATACTCCTGGCTAGACCCAGGCTCCTGTACACCCCTCAGCACTGGGCGAAGGCAGGTCTGGCAGCAGTGGATTCTGGGAAGATGGGGGTTTTGCCATGCAGCTGCAGGTTTTTCTATGGGTTAATGATTGATGCTGGGTGGAGTCCAGACTTTTCTAGGGCTGCCCCGTGCCCCAGATCTCCTGGGAAGGGTGTGAGACCACACGGCCAGGCATGCAGCCTGTGGCCAGCATTTCAGCCTGGAACTCTGTCTAATTGGGTTTCTGGCCTTCTTTTCACAGGCAAGCAGCGGGGACGGCGCTGGTTGAGCTGGACCTTGTCTGATGGCTTCCTCCAGGCCTCCTCCACAGCCTGCCATAGGTACTGTACCCAGGCTCTCCCTGCTCTGCTGGCCCTCCTCACAGGAGCCTGGACTGACAGACTGAGCCACTGGCCTTGGGCAGGCAAAACTCTGCTGGCCCCTTGCCCTGTCCTGTTTCCACTCCTCATACCCACCAGGTTCCTTGTCACAAAATGGGAATAATTTCCTTCTCTCAGAGTAGCACCAGGCAAGGGTGAATTCTTTACCTTTAAGATGGCCTGGGTAGATGGACAGTTCAGGGCCTGGGATTAAGCTTATAAGTTGAGGGTGGGGAACTGAGGTTGAGAGGAAAAAGTTGGGCTGTACGGTTGGGCTATTGAGCAGTCCCAGGATGGCCAGATTTAGGCAAAACAAGCAAACAAACAAACAAACAAAAAAACCCTAAAAAACCGCACAGTTGTACTAACAAAATGATTCGTTGTTTATCTGAAATTCCATCCAGCATCCTGTATCTTATTTGGAACCTTAGCAGTGGGGCCTCAGACCCCCTAGGTAATATCCAGGCCCTGCCCTGGAGAAACTGAATCCAAGGCTGTTCCACTCACTGGACCCCAGATTCCTCTTCTTGGCCCTGTTGAGTAGGCAGGACAGCAGAGCAGTCACCAGCCAGGACTTTGTCACTGCCCAGTCTGAGTTTGGATCCCCAACCTGCCACTCACCCTGAACTTGGTTACGTGATTCAACGTTTCAATGGCTCACTGTCATCACCAATGATGTGGGGAGATGATGACACCCTTCCCCATTTTGTTTCCAGGTTTAAACGTGTGTAAGGTGTGTGGCAATCAATGGCTGCATGAACAGGAGGGAGTGTGTCACCGCAGGGTGTGGACAGGACAGCCTGTCTGTGCTCTGAGCCTGGGTAGAGACAGATGATGTCTCTTCCTCCTGGAATGCTCCCCTCTGGAGTGTGGGGGTCCACTTGGTGGACTGTCTTCACTGTGGTGAGTGGTGGCTTCTTAGGGTCCCTGCCTCCTAGATTCATTTGAGTGGGTGCTCCTGAGCGCTGGGCATGTCCAGGACTTCAAAGACATGAGTGACCAGCTCTTGTTGTACCACCTGTCCAGATGGCTGGGAAGGGCTCAGTTCCCAATTACCTTGGGCTGGCCACCTGATCTTTCCTTCTGATAAGGAGCAGTGTCTGACTGCCTGGCAGGAGGGCAGCCAGCTGGTGGGGGTGAGTCTGGGGACAAGTGTACCTCCTGTCATGTCATGCCCTGGGTCCTGGCATGGCCCTTCTCTTTCTTCTGATGCCAGGGGCACCTACCCCCTTTTTCCTTCCCTCCAACATGGGATGTGAGATAAAGTAATGGCCGTGTTGGGGAGTGGCTCAAGTGGTAGGGCGCCTGCCTACCGAGCATGAGGCCCTGAGTTCAAACCCCAGTGCTGCCAAAAAGTAAAAAGAAAAAAGAAACAGAAAACTGTAACTTTATGATGGAATCACTTCTGTTCTCAGTAAATACCTCATGGCCATTTTTTACTCCAGCTCTGTCTAATGTTGCTGGCTCGTGTCACCTGGTCAGGCCCAGCCCTTTGCTCTTCCTGAGTCTGTGAGACCTTTCCGTTGCCCCTCTCAGGTTTCTGAGGAGAGGGCTCCAGACCCCTTCCCCTTGCTCTTGTCTTCAGCCTCCAGGCTCTTGTTGTTGGTCCCAGCCTGGACTTCTCTTTCTCATCTGAGCAGGTCAGACTTTGTCTTTTCTTCTTTGGAACTCTGTGAGGCCAGCCCCTGTCCAGAGTCTCTCCCAAAGCCCAGTGGGTATGACCAACCCCTCACTCAGCACAGTTGCCTTTGGGTTGCATGGTTTGGTTTTCTCCATCTGAGCCATGTCTTACTATCCCTCTGCCTCTAGCCCAGGATGGATGGATGGATGCATGGGTGACATGGACAGCTTAGCTGAAGCTGTCAGTACTCTCATGGGGGAGGTACAGAAGTGACCTGAGCCCCTGACACTGCCTGGGGAGGCAGGGTGCCTGGGGCTGGCCAGGCTGAGCTGCTGCTGCTAATAATAATAATAGCCATGACAGGAGTCATGAGTGATGGTGTAATGACAGTGACAATAGTAATCAGGGTGTCATCATCATAAGAATAACTAACAGTGAGTGAGCACATACTGGTTCCAGGTGATTCTGGGTGCTCACCTGTCCTTCCTCCTCACAGCCACTGCTGTCACCATTGTCACCACTGGCCAGCAGCTGGGTGAGGCTGGGAGGGGTCACATACCTTACATGGTACAGCTAGCGCCTGGGGCAGCTGGGGTCTGAGTAGAGCCCAGGTGGCTTGGCTCTGAAACCTCAGGCACTATAGTGGTACCGGCCATGTGTGTAGGGAAGCCACCCTCACCCCACCTAGCAGAGTCATGGGGGCCAGGACCGAGGGCATGGGAAGGCAAAGCTAGCCCTGTAAGGCAGGAAGGGCCTGTGTCTTATAATCCAGAACAGTAGAGATCAGGCCAGCCCAGGCAAAAAGTTAGTGAGATCTCATCTCAACCCAACAAGCAGTGTGTGCTGGTGGTGCCTGTCATCCCAGCTGTGCGGGAGCGAGGCTGTAGGTAGAAGGATCACAGTCCCAGGCTGGCTGGCCCTGGGTAAAAATAAGAGAGAGTTTCCAAAAAAATACCAAAAGCAGAAAGGGCTTGGGGGTGTGTCTCAGGTAGGTAGAGTGCCTGCCTAGCAAGCACAAGGTCTTGAGTTCAAACCCCAGTACCACCACGAAAAACAAACCCACAAAACCCCCCAACTTTAAACATAATCCATAGTCATGAGAACAGGAGTGCTCACTGCAGGCCTACTATGTGCTGGGCGCCTACTAGATGCTGAGGTACAGCAGTGAACAGAGCAGGTGGGAACACCTTGGGCGCTCACGAGGGGAGAGGCAGACAGTAGAGTGAGGCGACAGCACGTTGTGTGCTGAGAAGGCAGGGTCCACAGCAAGGTGCAGGGTCTCTGCGGCAGCCTCGCTCACGTGACTCATAGTAAAGAGCTGAGGCAGTGGGAGTAGAAGAAGATACGTGGAGAAAGAACATTCTAGACCTTGGGACAGCGGGTGCAAAGGTCCTGAGGAAGGAGCACGTCTGTCATGATTGTGTGCAGCCAGGAGGTGAGTGTGGTTGGAGTGGAGGGAAAAGGGGAGAGCAGAAGTTCCTTCACACACACACAGAACATGTAACTGACATGGTGTGAACGAGTGTGATTTTATTAATACCATAAGATTAAAAAATATTCTGAAATGGCTGGGTGCCAGTTGTTCACACCTGTAGTCCTAGCTACTTGGGAGACTAAGATCGGGAGGATCATGATTTGAGGCCAGCCCAGGCTAATAATTAGCAAGACCCTATCTTCACAATAACCAGAGAAAAATGGACTGGAGGCAAGCATAAAGCCCTGAGTTCAAGCCCCAGTCTCACCAAAAACTGAAATAATTAATAACAAGTATATTTTATTTGGTACTACAATACCAAGTATGATTTTATGAATATCATTATGTGAAAACTTTAAATATCTAAAGTGAGTGATCTTTATTCCTTCCTCCCTTCCTTCCTCCTTCCTCCTTTCCCTCCCTCCCTCCTTCCCTCCTTCTCTCCCTTCCTCTCTCCCTCTCTCTCTCTCTCTCCTTCCCTTCATTTTTGAGAAAGGGTCTCATTGTGTAGACCAGGCTGAACTTAACTGTGAATCCTCCTACCTCACTCTCTGTAGTGCTGGAATTCCACACCTGACCTGAAGCAAGTAATTCAAACACAGACCCCGAGGCTGATGGGGTGCCTAATTGATTTTCTGAGCCCCCAGTGGGTTTGTAATTTGAAAACCATGCATCCAGCTTCCCTCTTCACTCCTGTATTTCCTTTGTTAATTTGTCTCCATGGGGCAGAGTGTCCTGTGGTTGCTCATGCCACTTCCAGGAGGTGGCAGGGTTCAGTGGAGAGAGTCTGGAGTGAGACTTAGCAGGGCTCCCATGGGCCTGGTGACCTGCCACAGGATGGCGGGTGCCTGGCTTCGCTTCTGCAGAGGCAGCTGGAGGTGCCGTGATTTGCTACATGGGGCCCACGTTGACCTCCCCATGAGTGTGTTTCTCTACACCCGGGGAAGGAATGTAGACTAGTAGCCACCAGGAATTGGGAGTAGCTCCCCACCTCAGTGGCCTCCATCCAGCTGTAGTGCCTGAGAGGAAATTGGGGACCCCCTGCAGTGCACTGAGGGTCCCTTGTCTTGCACTTGGTACCTGAGATGCCCTGCTCTGGGCACCTCTCAGCCACTGTGGGAGGAGTCAAATCTTCCTGGTGGGAAAGACTGTTGGAATTGGATATGGCTACCTGTCTACCTGCTAGCCTTTTTTTTTTTTGGCGGTACTAGGGTTTGAACTCAGGGCTTTGGACTTGCTAGGCAGGTGCTTTACTGCTTGAGCCATGCCTCCAGCCCTTTTTACTCTGGTTATTTTGGAGATGGGGTCTCACTTTTTGCCCAGGCTGGCCTGGACTGTGATCCTCCTATTTGGGATGGCGGCATGTACCACCACCACACCTGTTTTTTTTCTTTTTTTTTTTTCCACTGAGATGAGGTCTTGCAGGCTTTTTTGCTCAGGCTGGAACTGCAATCTTCCCTATCTCAACCTCCCTTGAAGCTTGGGATGACAGTTGTATGCCACTGTGGCCGGCTGTTGATGGAGGTGGAGTTTCATGAACTTTTTGTCTGGACTGGCCTCGAGCCGCAGTCCTCCATCCATCCTTCTTTCTGTACTGTCCTCCCATCCACTCATTCACTCACAGCGGCATGGACTGACAGGACAGGTTGTGTCCTTGGGGGCCTCACAGGGAGGGAGCAGCCATCACAGCAGGTATAAAGGCCTTAACCTTTACAAGATTTACATGATCAGTGCAGGGCTGGGCAACACCTGTCTCAGAGGCTCTCAGCTAGTGGTGATTATGCCTCTCAGGGGGGACATATGGCAATGCTGGAGACATTTCTGCTTGTCACTGGAGGCTGCAACTAGCCTGTGGTGGGCAGAAGTCAGGGATGTCGCTGAACATGGGAGTGCATAGGACCACCCCGTGGTAAGTTGGCCTGCCTGCAGTGCTGGCAGTGCTGAGGCTGAGACCCAACCCACAGCTCAGCTGATGTCACTGCAGCTTTTCGTCTACACTGCAGAGGAGAAAACCAAGGTGCAGAGAGGTAGAGTGACTTGCTCAGAGCCACACAGCCAGCAGGGGCTAGAGCTCCCACTCTGAGCCCTGTTGCTGTGCCCCGAGAGAGCTGCTCTGTAGGACAGAGAATTCATCCCTTCACTGTTTAACGGATGCTGTGGAGCCCCAACCTGGGGCCAGGCCAGGACTTGACAGTAAAGGGACAGGTAGGTGGGACGTCTGGTCGGCTCTTAGGGAGTAGAGATCGGGGTGTATGTGCGTTTGTGTGTGTTACACATTTGTACAGGATAAACAGAGTAGGCAAGGGGCAGGACAGGAGGGGAGGCGCTTGGTTTATGTGCTTAGGATGGGATTCTGCTTGAGTTGGCTGTGAAGGATGAGGAGGACAACAGAGGACGCACCAGGCAGAGGATCCCCAGCATGGGAGCAGAAGGGAGCAAGGCCCTGTGGATACCTCTGTGCTGGGAGCTCAGGTTCCCGCCCCTGCTCCAGCCAGTCCTACTCTGGTACCTGGTACCTGCATCCCAGTCCCAGGCATTCCCAGACAGCTGTGTTTCCTGCCACCACATGTACCAAATAATATCCTGAGTGCAGGACGTGCCTGTCTGCTCATTTGCACCTACACAAAGCACACCAACACATAAACCCACAAGTGCATGCATTGGTGAATTTAAAAGGGGTTCTTGCTCACAATACCAGGAAATGAAAAATAAGAAGAAAGGTTCAAATACTCTGCTTGCCCTGGGAGCTTGGTTCCTTCCCACTCTTCACTGCCGCCTGCCCAGAGATCTAAGCCAGTCCCCTGGACACCTTAGGAGCACAGTGGAGCCATCTGACCTGAGTAGAGTCCTGAGAAGTGCTCCTGTTCCCTTGCTCAGACCTGCGGGCTCACGGCCTCCAGCCCATGTCCACCAACCAGCTCCCCAGTCCCATACCCACCAACTGGCCACCCTGTCCTGTGCCCATTACCCAGCCGCCCTGTCCTGTGCCCACACTTCTGAGATGAGCATCACTCACTCCTCCTCCCCTCCAGGAGATTTGCAGGGTCCTGGAGTCCCAGGCCCTTCCTCTGAGGCAGAGGATTCTGGAGAAGCCTTTGAGTTCGATGAGAGCGATGATGAAGAGGACACCAGCCTTGCTCCTGAGAGGGATGCAGACCCCCTGCTGATCCACTTTGACTCCATCCCCAGAGCAGGTAAGGGGTGTCCAGGAATCTTGGCCTAAGGGGTCTGGTGGAAGCCCAGGGTCTCGGGGATGGATGCCTAGTGGCCCTCTACTGTCCCCAGGAAGCAGGACGGGGCTGTTGGGAAGAGGCTGCATTCCGTGCTTCCCTTGGGAGTGGGGACTCCTAGCACTCCTACAACATCTGGCACGCTGGAAATGGAAGAGTGAGGTCGGCCTTTGCGTGGAGACGGTTGTGGTTCAGAGCTTGTGTCTCTGCAGCCACTGCCACAGAGAACCCACCTAGCCAGGGAAGCAGCCTCTCCAGGCCCCCTCTGTCATCTTGGGGAGCCGGCGCACCCAGAGGCTGGGAAGGGCCTTGTTGAGGCTGCCTGTAAATGGCAGTTGCTGGCTCTTAGATTCTGTCATGTGGGAGAGACTCTGGGGACTGGACCAGCTGGAACTTCCTGTAGGCTCTGGGACAGAGGCTCCTCGAGGAACCGAGGAGCCTGTGGGGGGAGCCCCACAAGCAGACTGGGCTGGTGCTCGTTCTGGTTGGGGTTGGGATGTGAGCCCTGGAGTCTGGGTGGTGCAGGCTGGACAGGTAGGGGAGCTTAGTCACCGAGCAGAGGCTGGGGAAGGGGCAGGAGCCAAGCCCAGCAGGCATCCTGGCAGGTCAGGCCCTGCCCCTGGTGCCCGGGAGGCGGGGCCTGGGCCTAGCCCCCTGCCTGACAAGCTCTCCCTTTGTCTTTCTCCACAGACCCAGACCTGGACACGGCCACCACACTGCCCCAGATAGAGTAAGTGACCAGTCTCCTTGGCTTTGCTGGTTGGAAAAAGAGGAGACTGAGCAGGGGTGTGGGATGGGGCAGAGCTGTGGAGGCGTCTGCAGGCCTTTGGCTAGGGAGGACAGCGTTTTGTCAAGACCCTTTGCTCTGGGCAAGGTCAGTCTGTGAAACTCATGGCCTCTTGCTGTTTTCTGCCCAGGAGCCTGTGGTATAGCCTGGGCCCAACCCTGTCACTCCCCCTTGCTAGCTGTGTGGCTTTGGAGGAGTCACAGGCTACTAGTGTCCATCTGTCCCTGAATAAGATGGACATTATGAGAGGCTGGGTCCTGGGGGCTGCCATGGGGGCTAAATGACAGCCTGGTCAGGTGATGGTTTCTTTGTTGCTATTTGCTTTGCCAATGCTACAGTTCCTGTGAGGGTTTTGGGGGACTCTACCCTTCTGTTCCAGGGAGCCTGTCGGGGGCAGGGCAACCTAATGGCCAGGAGCTGGATGCTGGGGTCTTTATCTTCACCTGGCTCCAGAGCTAATCGTGGGTGTTGTGTGAATTAAAGACCTTCTGGATCCTGGCTTTCTCATCTGTAAAATGGGCCACTGGTTCCTCCCCCTGAGTGTACCCAGCCTCCTGTCAGCACTTACTCAGGGCAGGGACTTTGAATCACAGCCCCTCCACGCTTGGCAGCAGATCTGCTTTGGGGGGCCTAGTTGATGTCCAGGACATTGGGGGCTCTGTATTTAAATCCTGGCTCTCCCGGTTGGGGAGGGGTGTGTGGAGTAAGCTGGCAAGCTAATTCCCAGGCAGGTCTCCGAGATGCAGTGTGCAGGGAGTCCCTGCTGGGAGGGAGGCTTTGTTTGTCTGGAGTGGGTGGACCTGGGAGGGTTTCTGCCGGGCCTATGTTGGGTAATTGGGTTCAGCATGCAGGGCCAGCAGGGCAGTGTCTCCTCCCTGACTAGGAACTGGACTGAATCAGCAGCTGTTTGCCTGCCCCTGGCCAGGGAGGGATTATAGCTCTCCAGAGTGTACCAGGACCAAGGCTGCAGAGAAACTGAGTCTGGTGGAGTGCCAACACACAGTGGTATGGAGGAGGGTGCCCACAGTCCTGAGACACTCATGAAAGGGGCTGCATGAGGACGTCTGGCTGAGCGTGTGAGCGTGTGTGAATGTCCAGGCAGAGATGAGGGGCAGGAGAGCTGTGGGCCGTGAGAAAGGACACCCTTCCCTGGGGCTGTTCTCTCCAGTGTCCTCCTAGGGACCCAGGCTCTCTAGAACTCCAGGCCAGGAACATGGCAGCTGCATCCTTTCCACCTGCCCTCTGTCTGTGCCTGTGGCCTGGTGGTCTTGCTGTCGTGGGGACCTGGCTACTGAGCTGAGCCTCAACAACTGTGCAGCCAGATGAGGCTGCATCAGGCCGGCAGTGGTACCCAGTGACCAAGTGACCCAGTGGCCCCTGGAGCTGGTGGCTGTTTTTCTTCCTCTCTCAAGTGGGGATGGTTAGGATTGCTCAAAGTGGGCCAGTATGTTGTGGGTGGGTGTGTTTAGGCAGGGACGGGGTGACCCCCACCTTTTCAACATCTGCCTGCCTCTCCGCAGCACAGCTGCTGTCTCGCTGGCCTTGAGCTGCCTGGGTTCCCTTGATCGCCATCTCCCAGAGGCCCCGGGCCCTGCTCCATAGCTTGGCCTCTCATTGGCTGTGTGCTTTGGGCTCTCTGGGAACCTCTCTGAGCCAGTTTCCCCATCTGCTAGGTGGAAAAGTAACAGCTACCTGAAAGCATTGTGAGGTGTGAACAAGGCTAGATGGGAAGCTGCAGCCTCTCCTAACTGTGCCTACAACAAGGTCTTCTGCCTGGGTGGGTCCCCATGCACTTGTGAGGTGTGTGAGGGTAGGGGGGCAATGTCTGTGTGTGCAGCTTGTGGAGCTGGGTCTCCCTGACCACAGCCATGAGTAAATGTTAGTTTTGAGTGCCCTGCCTGTGGCAGGAGAGCTTTTACTGTCACTTAGGGGACCCTATTAATGGGGCATGCTCCCTATGCAGAGCACTGATCAGTTCTGGACCTAAGAAAGCCCCTTAGTTTTGCACATGGGAGGTTGCAAGGCAATGTCACGCAGTGAGATACTGGTGCTGGGACTCCCTGTCCAGTGCTCTCTGCGCTGCGGCTTCGTTTCCTCCTCTGGGTCTCCCTTGATGGGAGCTGCAACTGCTTCTCTGGGTGGTGATTTTCCATCCCAGAGCCCTCTGGGAGGAGAATCAATCCAGGTCACTTTCCTGCTCCCCAAGAGGAAAGGAAACAAAATCTTGATTTTCTTTTCTTTTCAAAAACACTTCCCTGGTGGTGGTCACTAAGCAAACAGCTTTTTTTTTTTTTTTTTAAACAACAACAAAAAATCCCACATATCTGAGTGGAGGACATTCCAGCTTTCCTTACTGCCTTTCTTCCTGGACCCTGCTGGGAGGTTTGGGCATGGCCGTGGCCTTGCCTGGCTGCCGACCTGGCCTCCAGCTTCTGGTGAAGTGTGAGAAAGCTGCTGAGATCCACAGAGCTTTAGTCTCAAAATGACTGTTAGTGAGACTTTTTGTCCCTGTGATATAAACAACTTGAAGGCAGGAAGATTTATTTTGGCTTGTGGTTTCAGTCCAGGGTTGGCTGGATCCATTGCTGGGGCCCCAGGCCGCGCAGGTCATCATGGTGACAGGAGCCATGGCGGATGGTGCATACCTCATGGCAACTGGGAAGCAGAGGCAGAAAATGTCGTTAGGGACAAGATACATCTTTCCCAGGCACACCTCCAGTGACCTCCTTCCTCCATGCAGGCCCCACCCCCCACTTTCCACCCCCTCCCAATGATGCCATTGTGTTATAAATCCATCAGGGGATCCATTGCCTAGGTCAGAGCCCTCAGGAGCCAACCACTCTCCCAAAGCCCATCAGCTGGCAACCAAATTCCCTCCCCTGCCACATACATGAGCTTGTGGAAGTCATCTCAGATTCAAACTGTGACTGTGACCTTGACCCCTTCTGGTCACTTGATCCTTAGCTGGGGAGACAGGGCCCAGCTGGTGAGCTGAGCCACAGGGCAGGGATCTAGCCAGGCAGGAGTGTGGCTGACAGAGTGTGGGCTGGAGTGGAGGTGCTTCTGGGGCCACAGTGGAGCTGGCTTCAGGCCTTGGCTCTGCTACTCACTAACAAGTTGCTTGCTGTCCTGAGCTGGCCTCCCTTCCTCAGTCCCTCCCTCCCTTTTTTCAGTACGGGGTTTGAACTAAGGCCTTTGCTTGCTAGGCATGTGCTCTACCACTTGAGCCGTGCCCTGTCCTTTTGCTTTTTAGTTTGTTTTTGAGACATGGTCTTGATAACTTTGCCTGGGCCAGCCTCAAACCAAGATCTTCCTACCCCTGCCTCCCAAGTAGCTGGGATTACAGATGTGTATCACCATACCCACCTCTCACTTTCTTAATCAGTAGAATGGGGATAGTAAACTGCTCTAGCAGGGCTGTGTGAGGTGTAAGTGCACACAGACACAGTGCTTACTAAACTCGCCACGCCAGGTGCTGCAGCTGTGTTCTCTGCTGTGATTGGGCTCCATGTGGTGCTCACTCTAGCTATGGGACCTGGCCGGCCTCCGTGCCTCTCTGAGACTATGTCCCCTGTTTTCTCAGTGCCTGGCAGGTGGTTATAGGGACACTCTGGCTGATGGGCAGTCCAGGTGACTAGTGTGCCGTTGAAGGAATAGGAGGTGGTCACCTCTGCTTGGAGGCCTGTGGGCCTCCCTGGGCTTGTCCGGGTTGCCACGGGTTGGCAACCAGGCTGCCTGTGGTACACAGGGCAGCTTGTGTTCCTGGGTGTATATGGTGGTGGAGGCCCATGGGTGATTGTAAGGTGGGCCGCCCTGCTCAACAGCCCAGGGAAGCTTGTCTGTCCTGCTGCTGGGAAAAGCACGCTTTGAAATGCTCTGCTGACTGGTGGTGTGTTCTCTTTCCTGAGTGGGACATATCTGTTAGTGGATAATAACCACGCTGTCATCAGGTTCTGATGGTCACGTTTACCGTGTACTAAGCATGGAGCTGAACTCCCAGGTGCAGGTATTCTCACATCTCTGGGAAGCAGATCCCGTCATTCCCCATGGAAGGAAGGTGGTGTGACCAAGGTGACATTATGTGGAACACAGAACCAAGGCCACTCTGAGCAGGAAGCCAGGCACTCACCAGTGAGAACCCTGTCTCCAGGAGCTCAGGCTGGTTCACTATAGGAGGGTGGCCTGCTCCACGTATGTGGTCTGGTGGTGTTCGTTAGGGCGGGAATTTTGTCTGCTAAGAGATGAGCCCTGAGCTCTGGCGAGAGCCGTTTCCAAGCTGCTGTGGAGTGTTCTGTAGGCCCCACTGGGGGCTGTGACTCTGAGTGAGGCCCTTTCCCTGGAAATGGAAGCAGAGAAGGTCTTCTGAGGAAGAGGGAGTGGGTGTGTCACTCCATCTGTGTGACAGGGACATTGTTTTTTTTTTTGTGGTAATTCTGGGTTTTGAACTCAGGGCCATTTAAGCCATGCCTTCAGCCCCTTTGCTTTGGTTTATTTTTCAGGTAGGGTCTCACACTTTTTTCCAGGGGCTGGCCTTGGACTGCAATCCTCCTACCTGTGCCTCCTGTATAGCTGGGATCACAGGTGTGCACTACTGTACCTGGCAAGACAGGAACTTTTTTTTTTTCATTTTTTTGTTATTGTTTTTCTAGTTGAACATTTTATGGGGATATTTTGTTTGCTGTATCCTCATGACTCAGCATAGTCCTAGGCACAGGCGAAAGCTAAAGACATCCTTGTTGAATGAATGATAGATGGCAGGACCAAGGAGATCTGAAAGGTGACTTTCAGTGTCTCCATGGAAATGAGAAAATAAATAGTGCAGCAATAGAATTTCTGAGGCTGGATTCTGACTCTGGCAGTTGTCGAGGGCCAGGCCAGGGGCCAGTGGGAAGGGGAAAGGAGACTCAGAGTGGTTGAGTGACCTGGGGCCACACAGCTGGTCA